ACAGGGTAAGGATACTACCATACATTTCTTTGTATGAATTATGAAATTAAATGTGGAATTGCTGACCTTTAAAGTGTTTTTTTTTGTGGTGACCGCTTGTGAAATTCACAATCTTTCATTTTTTTTTCCAGTCTGACACGCCTGCAGTCAGTGTCACTGGCATCAACAGAAGGTCATCAACACCGCAGTCATCACAATTTGCTGGTTTACTCAAATCAACTGGTCCCACTTCAGGTAAACACCTTTTTCACAATTCTGTATTGCTGGTCATTAAATTATTAAAATTTTGACAAATCTATATTTCTCATCTGTTCTTTTTTGTTTCTCCTCCCCAGCCAAACATGGAAAATTATTGGCAGGTATCCATGGTATCGGTATTGGCGGTTCTTCATCACACATGGACGTTGGGCAACCTTACTTCAAAGTGTCTTAGAAAACCTTGCAAATACAGTTTATCACCGAACAATGTTTGTTTTCGTAGCAAACCGTGATATCTTGATTACTGAAATGATTGTTTGTCCACAGCTGTTTATCAAAGAGCAAAAAATACATTAATGTTAAATATTATAAAATACATTCAATTTTGGAATGTGGCGATCTTACGGTTGTCTTGACGGAATCAGCTTACCCTACAATATTACTGCTGTGGATTCTCCAGTTCTACCTTTGGAATGACTTTAACGCAACGCAGCGAATGGAGACAAGACTAGAGCGACTGTCTCTGCAACAAAACTTATAACATCAGTCGGAATGGAAATTACTTCCGCAGAATCAAGGCTACTGAAACAATCAGTAGATTATTGAACCTACGCCATTTTATTTATACACATCGTCTGTACGATTGATTCAAAACTGTAATATCCTGTGTATCCTTCTCAACATGGTATTATACATGTCCATGACAGTTATCATACATAATTTTGTCCTAAATAACTGTCTAATTTGAGTTTACTTACAATGTAATACTATACACATTTTTGCGATCATATGTGGTTTATAGTTATTATCATTTTCCGTGATACACTGACTTTACAGGAGCATTTTGAGGAGATTTTGATCTGGTTATTGCCAAATATCTTTTAAACATCACAATGCTTAAAGCAGAAGTCTGTCTACACATAAATGAAAATACACAGAATTTATTCATTTTGCAATCAAGTGTACTCCAGGGCAATATTGAAAGGATATTGACCTATTAAGGGTCACCAGCCTAATTTTCGTAAAAATTTATGGTTGTATTTTAGTTGATAGTGGCCATTTTGGTTTTACCATAGGTCCTTATGGCAGAGATATGCCGTATCACAAATTGTAGGCTGGTGACATAGACTGAAAAAATCGTATCTTGTTAATGAGGGGGTACTTTTTATTCTAAATTAATTTTAACATTTAAAGAAGGCTGTTTTATTGTGCCATGAAACAATTGTATATAGTGATTGTATATAATAAACCAATAAACATTGTCATGCAATTTATGACCAATTTCTCAAAAATTATGAGTAGGCTTCTACCTTATCCAATGGAACACAGCAATGGAGTACTCTATCGTCTCTATTTATAATGTCCAAATATGGGCAATGGTTATCATATTTACATTGGCTGAGTAAAATATGTGGCATAGTAAAGCATCTAAAAATGCAGATTAAATTATTACTGTTTTCAGAGAGTACACTTTAAGACCAATCTGACAAATTTCTCCAACTGCTGAAGCAGCTACATCAAAATGTGTTAACATGCTTCTGTCAACATCGTACAAATACAGTCTTCAAAATCCTCAGAATATTATACTGTAAATATCTTAAAAACTCAAAATGACAGTTATTTAGGCAATTGTTACCATGGTAACTAGATTAGTTAATGTAATATAAGAGAAAATATGATTTACACAAAATTGTTTTAAGAGATACCTGTAAATTTAGTGTACATATGAATTATTTCCTCTTGTGCAAATTTTTATAACTAGTTGTCTGCTCATGTGTCTTTGCTTCAATGTTCTAATAATTGTTGTCTGATGTGTATTTTAATCCTGTTTCTGTACAAATTCATCTGCATTCACCTTTCAAACTATATACCCATTTTAACATTTACCAACTTGTGTTACCATATTGTTGACTTACCGTCTTTCAGCA